AATAAATTTAATTGTGTCATGTCAAATCTCAATTAATTTTTTTTCATGTTACTTCTTGTTTTAAATTAGCATTAATTACTAGGTTCAACTCATAATTAATAACTTAAATACCATCTTATAATATAATCTCACTATCTTTTATCAAGGTATAATTCTAATTTTTCAAACATACCTAAAAGCCTATGCAGCTATCTTGTATGAGATATTTATTAGTACAATGTTGAAAATGGATAATTTCCCTTTCATCCCTAAGGTTTGGTTTGTTACACTTTGGCCCCGATATTATGACATACCAAAACTTCAGTCTTGTTAAATGCTTAATGTTAGTGTTGTTGGCTAACTTTATTAACATCGTAAGAGATTATGGTGTTAAGAAAGTGGGCCAATAACACTCGACGTTAGTCATCTAACAGGGTTGAAGAGTTCGAATCCTATAATACTAGGGCAAGGACAAAAGCGTAAATATCCAAAGACAAAAACTACCTTGGATGGTTTAAAGGAAAGGCAGGTGAAGACAAGGTAGCTTTCACTTTCAAATTTATCCTTAATGGTGAATCTACCAAGGAAATGGAGAAGAGTTGAATGGAAAAGGCAAGTATCAAACATTGTCCATGATAAATAGCAGAAATGAATTGGGCCACAACCCACGTGAAATACCTCAATTGAAATTTTGTACTGACCCTGACCCTGACCCTGACCCAGCTCCAACTAAAATTATAGTATTTTTGACCCTTTAATCACAAAAATGGCGCAACACATTTCCCTTAAAATTTTCACGGCTTTTCCTTTTTTCTTTCTTCTTTTCAGTGTCTTATATAACTTACATTAATTAGACTGGACTGCTTTTATTTCCACCATTATAGCTCTTACTTTATCTATGATTTCTTTTTTATTGATTTTGACCGAAATTTATTATCATAATTGCCTAAATGTTTTCATATTATGTACCATATCTCTCCATCATCATTTAATGTAAAAAGGCTCCAATCTATTTCCTAAGATTTAGTGATTTACAATTTTACTGTCATTAACAGCTTAACTACAAAACTGACTACTTACCCACTAAATATCTATGCCATGCCATCCATTGTTAAAGCAAAGGTTATTGCATTTACTCCCTCCCCTTCGGTCTACTATTCTGGATCCTATAGTTTAAGGTCACCTTAAGGGCTTTTTTTTTGTTGATAATCGAGGGTGTCCAGGCTAGCTTACGCTCATCTCAGCTAATCTCTCGGGGTCCTAAAGTTAACAGCTGGATAATTCTTTAATGGCCATCCCTATTAGCAACCGAAGAGAATTGAACTAAAGATCTCTTGAGTAATACACCTAAGAGTCTTAGTTAACCACCTGATTACCCAAGGTTGGTTACCTTAAGGGCATTTTGTCTTTGCTTAAAAAATGTTATTTCAAAGTTAAGATTTCATTAATGGTTGTTAATTTGACAGAGGTATTTCAAAGGTCATTATCTTGACCCTAGTAAACCAAAAACTTAGTGTTTTGATTAAGGCTTTTTCTCATGATACTACTCTTTAATCGTTGATCACATGCCACCCGATTTAATATTTTTCTTAACATCGTTATTAATTTTAATGTAGTATTGTTAAATCAATGATTACATTACTTTAAATACAAATTTTTAGATACTTAATTTGTAAGTATACTATTATTGTACTATCACCCAACTCAGTTCTCTGTCTACCTATGTTAAATGTGATTAATTAAACTTAGTAAAGGCTCACTTACCACTATGAAATGGTAGACCCATTCTCTATTTATAGTTATAAGGGGGAGTAATTGGTAATTACCTAATGAGTATTATATTATAATGTGTCAATAATTATATTACAATCACCACCTAATAGTAAAAAGGTAAAAGAAGATTGTATGAGTTCTTGAGTTTAAAACTTTTTATATGATAATAAAAAAGTAAAAAAAGATTGTATGAGTTCTTGAGTTTAAAAATTTTTGAACCCTAATAAGATCACATTGTTTGAAAAACTTGTAGGGACAACCCAGTGACAAAAAAGTAAAAACTGCATGACATAATTAATTTCAAGGACTAATTATCAACTTTCTTGTCAAGAATGAAGATGATAATATCATGGTACATCAATCAAATCCTTTTAGGATTTTTATCAGAAAATCAGTACAAATCACATGTGTTTTTATTTATCTTTTGTACAATTCCAGAGCTCCCCTCTTTACCTAACATTTACTTAACATTCGTCTTACAATTTTGCTAGGAGGTTACACAATATTACCGAATATCATATTATGTTAAGATATTTGACAGTGTAGTCACAAGTCACGACTGTAGTAAATGAATATTTGGCAGTCGGGAAGACTCATCTCTAAATAATCTAAGGATTTGTCATCCGATCACAAATTGAGTAATTGATAATATATTTGATTGTTACATTCATTTTTATAAATTTTCTAGTATTTTTTTTATTATATCTTTATAATGTTAATAAATTTCTCTCTTGTCCATGTATGTAAGGTTTTATTGGAATTATATCAATTTTTTGTGTCTTTTAAATCATTAGTAATTTATTCCATATAATATTTTATAGTTACTTGATTTCCTATTGTATCAAACATAAAAGAAAATATTTGATATTGTTGATGTGTGATGCATGATTTTGACACCAACGAAATACACATGTGAAATATTGAGTTGACCCAAAAGACACACATGAATGGAAAGAAAAATGACAGTAAATGCAATGAGAAAGTGGTTTTAAAGTGATTCGGATGCTAAGGAAGCAAATCCTACATCCACTGATGTTTTTATTAATGATAAGGGTCAGGTCGTTTTAGACGACTGACTTTACACTGATGATACAAGGTATCAAGGACTGTCTATTCTAGAGAGAGAGAGAGAGAGAGAGAGTTTTGTCAAGAGTAAAATGAGCGAATCCCCTTAATGAGAAAGGAGCTCTCATTTTATAGTGGGATGTCTTGAGGTAATGATCAATGAATCTATAAGTTGGTGGGATGATTCGTGCAAATCCTTCTTTTAGAGTAATTCATGTGATTTGCTGTAGGGATTGGATACGCGGGATCATCACAACTCCTAGCTGGCCTGAAGTTCACCTATTATTCTGATGGAAGCAAGCTGTGGGTGTTACCATGATCACACGACGCGGCTACGCCGGAGTACCAGTAAACTTTTCTCAAGGTCTGACCTTTCGCATTTAATTGGACGTTACGTCAGTCCTATTTTCCTAGGCATAACAGATATGAATGTAAATATTTAGTCACGATTTTGTTTAATTAAATCAAATCATGTCTGGAAAAGTTAGTCCCATTCCCACCTAAGTGGTTGATTCTTCTTTTTAAATTAGGAAAGTTTACTCGATTATTTTGGTTCATTTATTAATTAAATTTTAATTTGCTTTATTGATCAACTATTTATAATCGCTTCATTATTATCGTTGCTTCGTCTTAAATTACTTTTTACATCCATCTTTAAAACTATAATTTAATTAAAATGACAACTAATTATATAAGAGAATAAAAATCCATTGTAGTAAAAAGCGACCACGTTTTTAATTGCTTAAATGTGGAGTGGTGGTCCAATTAAGTTTGACATTGATATAATTCGTTGACTCTTGTTATTTTTTTATTGCATTGATTAATTTATTCTTTCTAGACAATTAGAGATGAAATTGTTATTTTAATACGTAGTATTAAAAATATTAAATATTCACTAACTCATCATCTCTATATCATTACAACATATGAGTACACATAAACTAATAAACTATACATGCAATTCAATTAATTAATTAAAAGAATATGAAAGGATATAAACTAGTACGAATTACAAAAGGGTCACAAGAAAATATTAAAAAAAAAAATAAAAAAATGATAGATTTGATTGGTCCAATCCAAAACGCCCACCTTTGGACGCAACGGAACGTGCCAAATCCAAAGGAGAAAAGAGATAGGGAAAAAATATGAAAAACGATAGCCAAAAAAATAAATAAATAAATAAAAGAAATAATAAATTCTGCCGTAGCATTACAGCCATTACTGTCCTATGCCCATTCTGCTGCAGTCATAATAACAATTTTAGCCCTAATATTCATATTAACTGCACTAGTTCAGTATAATTCTATATTTACGTTTTAATCCTTGTAAGTAACAGTACCAACAGGGATTAAAACATTACTAAAAAATACTAGAAAAATAAATAAAACATGATAGACTTGATTGGTCCAATACTCCAATCCAAACACCCAGATTTGCACGCAACGACAACTGGCAAATCCAAAGGAGAAAAGAGATAGGGGTAAAAATGTGAAAACGATAACTAAAAAACAAAAACAAATTCTGTAGTAGTCGTACTGCCCATACTGCTGCAGTAATTAATAAAATTTTACCCCTAATATTCATTTAATTCTTAAATACACTGTAATTCAATATAATTCTATAATAACGTTTTAATCCTTATAATCTAATCTCAGTTGCAACGGTCAGAGAGATTTGTTTTATTTTTTGAGTTCTTACATTCAAACTTTGGAATTATCTATCACAATAATATTATAATTTATTTAATCTTTTAGATTTATAATATATTTAATAGATTCTAAAAATTAATTGAGATATGCGTAAATAAATTTGAACATTTATACGCAACATTACTAAGAGAGATTAAAACATTACTAAAAAATTCTACTAGACTGGAGGGGCATAAACTAGATATTGGGGACCAAAAAAAAATAGTACTGTGCCTGGTGGCCCTGGACTTATAGAACTGTAGCACGGGTGAGTCAGAGCGAATGGAAAAGGCGATTCCATTGATAAAAAAAAAAGACAATGAAAAATGAAATTAAAAAGTGTACGGAAATTCCTAGTAGGCTATGTGGTCTAAAATAGAACAGACAATAACGACTGTTGCAGCTAAATCAACCAATGAATAACCGACAACACAATTGACGAAACCACTCTGGTTTTTCAAAACCACTATTTTCTACATCAAACCCACATTTGTTTCCCCAATGTGATTTTTCCAAGCCTTTCATATATATATCAGTCTTGCCCTTTCTTTCTCTGTACATAAATTTTCTCTTCTTTCTTTCTTTCTTTCTTTCTTTCTTTCTCCATCTGTGTATAAACACCTCCACACGCAATTCTATCTTTTGCTTCATTAAGATAACACAGAGACAAAGATACTCCTCCATATTGTTTTGTCTCTTCTTCTACTAGTATTTGTTTCTATTGCTTTAATCGTTCTTTGAAGTGAATCTTATTTTTATCGTCCTCGTCGTCGTAATGGGGAGGGGTAGGGTTCAGCTGAAGAGAATAGAGAACAAGATCAATAGACAAGTGACGTTTTCGAAGCGAAGGTCTGGGTTATTGAAGAAGGCCCATGAGATCTCCGTACTTTGCGATGCTGAAGTCGCGTTGATCGTCTTTTCCACCAAAGGCAAACTCTTCGAATACTCTACTGATTCTTGGTATGATCCAATCACTTTCTTTTCAACTGTCAATTTCATTGCGTTTGCTTTCTTTCAAATCTTTTGCTTTTTCCCTTCACTACTCCTTATCTATTACCGATTCCATTAAATTCCAATGCGTAATACTGAACGGTTACAAACTTAGAGTTCATGTTTGGTTGGCAAGAAAATGAACAGTTTTTTTTTTTTTTTTCTGTGTTTGATATTTGTTATTTTTTTTGTGTTCCTTCATGCACGGCCCAAACGGGGGAATAATCGGCGTTACGTGATATTATTTTTGTTATTTTGTTTGTAATTAGATTGTTTAATTGGATAGAAAGAATTTATTATCTTACTGAAAAGCCCAGACTTAAGGAAGAGCTTAGATTTGCAGTGTGCCTTATTTAATTAAATTCCCACTTGAATTTAGAAAAAAAAAAATTGTGATGATAATATTTCACTTTCACCCACGTCCAAATTGAGAAATAATTTTTACTTTGTTACTATCCGTAATAAAAAAAGGCACACAAATCTAAAAAGTACTAATCCATGACTTTTTAAGTGTTATTTTTGGAGGCCTTAAATATTTATCTAGTCGGACTCCATTAGTCAAATTGAGTAAGGCCAGAGAAAATTAAGAAATTTAAATTTCTTTGGAAACCTGTACTTTTATCTTGCATTTCTTGCAATGCAAACGTACAAAGATATTCTATATTTTGTACGTCCATGCCCTCTTTCTGCATTACTCATATTTTATATAATAATTCTTCAAGTGCTTAATAAATTACTACCCTGTCGATCTTTAAGTGATTAATTGGGGATTTTTTTTTTCATGTTCAAGTTTTATAAAATGTGAAATTCTTCTTCAGTGTGTGTATTTATTATGATTTTTCATTTCCAATTAGGAACGAGAACACATTTATATTGTTTAATTCCCTCAATTTGTTAATCGATATGTTATGATAAGTAATTTTAATTTGCTATTAAGGGTAGTGATATGCACTAAAAATACACTTTTCTCATTTTCAGGAATTTAAATAACATGTTTTACCATTGTTTTCACTTTAAATAAATTCAATTCAATAAAAATGATTCACAACCCTTGCTTTCACCCAAACTCATTTTAGAAGACAGAAAGAGAATTGGTAGAATAATTCTATAATACTCAATTCTTTTAAGTTTAATACTACACGTATAAAGAAATTTACGAAGAATTCTAGTATAAAATGATGTGGTAGGAGATGAATGGAAAGTGAATATGATAAGTTTAACTTTTTGTATTCACTATTTCATTTATCTCCTGTCATATCACTTTGTATAAGTAATCTTCATAAATTTCTTTTTACATCTAGTATTATTGTTCTCTTACTTCAAATATGAGAAGCAATAATATCACTGAGTATAGTCCAGTTCTAATTGTCATCTTTATCTGCCTTGGTGGAATTACAATAATATATATAAATTAAACAAAGTCTTAATTTTCAATTCGCATAATAGTTTTAGTCCAATTAGTCTAATAGTTGTTAACAAATACTCAATAAGTCGTATTAATTGTTAGATTCTAGGGTTGAAATGAATGATTTCTTATATTTAGATCAAAGTAGTACTCGATAATGGTTGTGATTGTAGTTGATTGTGTGGTTATAAGTTGTATTAGATGATAAATGCATTCTATTTCTCTTTCAAGCTTGAGTAAAACATATATAAGTTTTGTTATCAATAATTTTATTTCTTCACTTGCAAATCTTCATTAACATGAGGAAAACACAACCATCGCTATGGCAGAAAGAATAAGGTCATTTAACACTAGGTAAATGTATTTAGTTAGCTTCTCTTCTTCAAAATTATCATCTAACCTGATCGATGTTGTAGTCACTAGAGCTCTTAACCAATTGATAATTTCAAAATCTCGGGAATTAGTTGAGGTGTGTGTAAATTGACCAGAATACCCCCGATCATTGAAAAGAAAAAAGAAAAAAAAAAAAGATATTGTATGAACTTTTACAAAGTTCTATAAATAAGTACTCTTGAAACATTGCGCAATGACGCCTTATATATAACTCGCGTATTTGTTTATTCTGAAGTCTGTACTTATAACAATATAACTATATTTTTCTTTGGTATCAGCATGGAAAGGATCCTTGAAAGGTATGAGAGGTATTCCTACTCTGAGAGGCAGCTTCAGCCAAATGACATAAGCAATGTAAGCTATCTATCAACTCAGTCAATTGTAGAATTCTTGAATTTGTTAAGTATGCTTTCCTTCTTCTTGTTTGAGGTTTCCGTTTATGCATATTCAAAAGCTTCCGACTAACACAATAAACCAACTATTCCTTTTACATTTCAGTCTGAAATATATCAAACATATGATAATTGTTTGACTCTTTACATACAGGTTTAGAACATTTTATCATAATATCATAACACTATTATAACATGCAGCCGGGAAGCTGGACTATTGAACATGCAAAGCTGAAAGCAAGGGTGGAGATTTTACAAAGAAATCAAAGGTATGGACATGAACGCGTGCAAGTTTTCTAATAAAATAAGTAACCAAAGAAAAACACCAAGAAAAGTATATATTTCTTGATTTTTGCAGCCATTTCATGGGACAAGAGCTGGACACTTTAAGTCTCAAAGAGCTTCAAAGTTTGGAGCACCAGCTTGATTCTGCTCTTAAGCACATACGCTCAAGAAAGGTAATATCAGTATGAATGACCTTTGAAGTTCTTATATAACATATTTCAATCCCACTTAAAAAAAAAATGTCCTAATCGGAATTGGATTTCATTTTTCGTACAGAATCAACTCATGTTTGAATCCATTTCGGATCTTCAGAAAAAGGTAAGAGCTATCTTCCTAGAAGTACAATGTCCCATGGATTGCCTAACTGGTCCTTTCTTTTACAGGACAAGTTACTCCAGGAACAAAATAACTTGCTCTCAAAGAAGGTAATACATTTCAAAAGATTCCCTAATTTGAACCCATTTTCTTTTTCAAGTTGTAAATATTTTGAACCATAACTAGGTGAAGGAGAAAGAGAAGAATTTGGCCGAACAGGCGCAGTGGGAGCAGCAAAATGATGGCCTGAGCTCACCCTCCGAACTTCTAATGCAGCCGTTTAACAACAGGTTAGCACTGAGTCTTACAAAACTCCAGTCGAAAGTCCTATATAACGTGTATCTTTAGAACATATATTAATCGATTTAATGGGAATGCGTGCAGCGGCTCATACCCAGTGGGAGGGGCCAATGGAGGAGAAGATGATGACATTCCAACATATCGAGTGAATGCAGTGCTGCCCTCATGGATGCTTCCTCCTAAATGAATGAAGAAAATAATAAGCAGATAAGTGTTAACTGTGCTTAGTATGTATGGAAGCTTTTTGAAATAGATATATGGATATGGAAATGGATGATGACTGTTATAATTAATGGTGATGTAAGGAGGGTCGATATCGGGTCTGTCTGTCATTGTTGACTACTGTGTCTCTACCAAAAGTTACAGCAGTTTGACACCTGCCAGGTTATGGATGAAGGTAATATTTTATATATTCTGGACAGAGTCAGATGCAAAACTCAATACAAAATAAATATATTAACCTCTGTACTTGCTATTTTGTAATAATTTTGTCAATAATTAGCTACCACCACTATTTTATGTGGTCCTCTTTGCATATGGAATTATGCTTCTTTCAGCTTTTTCAAAGGTTTTATATATTATTTCTAAACAAATATTCTGGTACTAACATTGTTTTTTTCTGATTTTATTTATTTTTTTAATTTCTTGGCAGTTAATAGTTTTCATTCTCAAATTTTGCCTCAAATCCAATTTTCTATGATCATTTAAATTTCTAATTTAGAAGGTTTCAAATATATAGTAAATGAAATGGACGATCTTATAGTTTTTGGTTTGTGTTAGGTATTTTATTTTAATTTTTTCCAATAAGGGCGAATCTAAACCTGTGTTAGAGAATAGGAGCTAAAAATAAAATGAAACAAGTAGTTGCAACTATTGAAAACTTAGTTGAGGCTTCCCCACCCCCATAATTCCGGCTAAGCTGTTGAATTTCAACTCTTTGTATATATATCTTTTCTCATTGAATTGGGTTTTGGAAGTGCTTTTGCACCAGCACTTCAGCCAAATTGACTGACTTTCTGATAAGAATATTAAGTCCACCCTTCCATAATGAGACGATGGCGTTTTGTGATAAAAAAAAATCCAACCCACCATTTCAAAACTACCCAGCTTCCCCGCATTAATATCATTCTCACCAAATTAACCCACCAATCTTGCCATCCAAATTTCATAAAGTCTTTTTCCTTTAAATTATTTTAAAAAGTATTATCATAGAAAAGAAAACACGTTTAATTTATATAAGGTTTTTATAAAATAATTTAGTAAGAAATTATTTTATAAAATAGGAATCATGGCTCCCATGAAGTCAAGGAAATCAGTGAAGAAAATGCAGGCAAGTCTGCTGAATCATTCTTGGAATTTTGCCAAACTTATTAATCAATTAATTAAAGGGCTTGTAGTTGGACTTTTGATTAATTTTATTATTATATTCAAACAAAAGCATGGTATTGTATATATGGATATACCACTGTCACGTCTACACTTCAATTAGTTAATTAATGTCTCCTTAATCTTCTTTACACTTCTCCATTTTTGATTGGTAGAATTCTGTTGTATGAGTTTGGACTGCAACATAGATGTTCTGGTTTGGTGTTATTCGACTAGCAAGATGCTTAAGTATGGTTTATTATTTTAAGTAGGTTAAAGATCCTAGAATTCTGTGCATGAACTTTATTTAGAATTTGCTTCTTCCAAACATGTGAAAATATTAATTAATTCATATTACTAAGTCTCAAACTGGATGACTTTTACAAGACACAAACAGATTCATGGGAAACACGTTCAACATGAGTCCCCACAGGATTTTAACTTCATGTATATATAGTTGAGTTTGTATATCAATATTTGAGATAAAGAAAATGGGTCGTTCACATAGCAGATCACCAAGATTGTCCCTCAGTAGGTCTGTGGGTCGCGTTCGTGTTCGTGTTCTTTCGCCTTCACTTCAATGCAAAAGAGCTTCGAATTCTATCGAAACTGATCAGAAAGTTGAGTTCTTGGGCAACGGGGAGGAGATTGAATATGTCGGGAGCTATGAAAAAGAGAATGGTGGTGGGACTGGAAATAAGGTGATGGTGGTGGTTGACTCAAGTCTTGATGCTAAAGTAGCTCTTGAATGGGCACTGTCACACACTGTTCAAAACCAGGACACCATTCTTCTTCTCTATGTTAATAATTCCAAGTCCTCCAAGAAAGGTCAGCTTGTTTAATTTTTTTTATCAGTTTCTTCAATGAAAGTTCAATTAGTGAGGACGATTTATGATTAACCAGAGGTTTTGATTACTTTCTAATTGTGGTGCAGGTAAAGAGTCTCATGGCAAGATTAATTTAAGAGCTTATGAAAAACTTCATTCCATGAAAAATACTTGCCAAACCAAGAGACCTGGGGTAAGTCAATTTCATTTGCAAAGTGTCACACCCCGAAATGTGGGCTGCCCCGACGCAACATCGCGCCGGAAACTGAATTTCTGCGTCGATGTAAACGATATCCGGCGCAAGCTTTTGCGCCGGAGACTCACCGGGGCATGCCTGTTTTTTGCAACTAGATTCTTTTCCATAAAAGTCAACTACGCGTTAATTACGGCCAAAATAATTGAACAGAAGTCAAGAGTTTCAATGAACAGTTCTCATTGGAGTATGCATGAACCCACTTAGATAATTAAAAAAAGATTGAACTTAACACATCAATCTAATCTGAAACTTGATTCTTGGCAGGTTGAAGTTGAGTTGATAATGCTTGAAGGGAAAGAAAAGGGTCCAATAATCGTGGAGGAAGCGAAGAAACAGAAGGTCTCATTGTTGGTTCTCGGGCAAAGAAAGAAATCGATGGTGTGGAGATTGATGAAGAGATGGGCAAGCAGGAAAGCCAGGGGAGGAATTGTTGATTACTGTATCCAAAATGCTTCATGCATGACAATTGCTGTGAGGAGGAAGAGCAACAAGGTTGGAGGATATTTGATTACCACTAAACGTCACAAAAATTTTTGGCTTTTGGCTTAATTTGATCTCACAGAATTGATTCATTTATTTGGCTGTTCTTCCATGCATCAAAGGTGCAATTTGTGGATTACTGAGATAAAAATTTACCATAAATTTATTTTATTTAATCCTAATGGTGCACCAAGACAGTTGTTGAAGTCATGTTCAGCTTATATGAATAAATTTCATATTATATTTCTCTATATTGAATACAATACACATAATCTAGTATTAAGGTTATACAATTAAAGAGATAAAGTGGGTTCTTGTTCTTGAGTTTATGGATGAGAAGGTTCAAAGCATTTCATTTGGCGACTTGAGATTCCTTCTACCAAATTGTTCTGTGCATTTACCACAGGAAAGACTTAAAAAGTGGTCAATTTTAGGCGCATAGAAGAGGCTTCAATTCCAAATCAAAGGATTGACTTTTCTTATTGCACAAAACATAAAAAACTATATCGAGGAATATGGTTTAAATTAAGCTGAAAATTCTAATTCTCATTTTCTCATAGATTAGATTTCAATATTAAAGAAAGTGCCCAAGTGATAGACACCGATAACAGAACCATAAAAAGTAATATGCTGCTCAAATTTTCAATTATTTTCTTTATTTAAACCAAAAATCTTATAAATTGTTTTACAAATAAATCAATTAACTCTTTCAACTGTACAAGCAGTGTACATGGAAACATTTGGTCTGCTCAATCCAGTCTCGGGAGGAAGCAATACCGATATATGAACATTTTCTTCCTCACTCTGCCGCAATTTTCATCCTCACTCTGCCGCGAACTTTCGGTCTAAACCCTTCATAAATTTTCGGCCCCTTTTTTGATATGATCAATTTATGAACTACACAAGTATACAGTTTCCAAGTTCAGGATTTACTTTAATACCTTTTGATGTGGCTCAAAGATATGTCCACGCGTATATGCAATTCGATGAAGCTGATCATACCCTGCAAGCACTCCAGCCCCTGCCACACCAAGAAGCATATTTGCAGTAACCCCTCGGAACAGCGCTCTGAAACCCTCAAGTTGAATGATCTCACGTAATGCATGCATGGTATTGCGATACTTAATCGGTTGTCCAGAAGTAAGCATCATTCTCCGTCGCAGAGTGTCAAAGGGATAGGCACAGACTCCTGAGACACTGGTGATGCTCCAACCCAACAGAAAACTAACAAAGAAATTACCCTGCAAACAAGGGAAAAGTTAGATTGAAATTTGTAAGATAGGTTCTGGAAGAGTGTGTTTGCAAAGATGTAAATCAGGATGATTATTTTTCCAACAAAACGACTGAGAACTTGTAAAGTCCTCAAATTGGAAGTTCAAAATCATCTGGCCAAACATCAACGTGCTTAACTTAAAATACTACAGGTGAAGTCTATGCACAAACTCATAGTTCCAAGTTCCAAATAAAGGAACTGACAGATACCTCAAAAGGCCCCACCAAAATGATAGGCTTCAGTGTGTCATAGAGCCCAAAGTACATGCCTCGGTACAAGGTAATTCCAATGATTGAAACCCCAAATCCTCGATACAAGCCTGCTACACCATCAGTAGACAAGGTTTTACGGTACACATCTAGTAGCCCTTTAAACTGACGTTGTCCATTAATAGGACACTCCCTTGCATCAGTGCCTAATCGAGTACGTGCATAATCCAAATGGTATAAGAATATTGAAGTTGTGGCTCCAGCAGCACTCCCCGAAGCCAAATTTCCAGCAAACCACTTTAGGTAACCATCCTTCTCTTTTGAGCGGCCAAAAAGGGTTTTGAAGTAACCTTTGAATGCAAAGTTGAAAGCCTATCGACAATCAAGCATCTGTTCAGTGACAAAATTTAGAAACAACCAACTATGTATATAAGAGATGCAATAAAATAGCTGCTAAATCAAAAATCAAAGTTCTAAAAGAGGGTGCAGAAGAAATTAACCCAGCAATCATATTTCCAGATCTCGTCATTTGTTGTCTTCGACCACAATTTAGCATATCATATTTAACAAAAGTATGTGATCAATCATAAGGGAATCTCTTCATAACCCAAAGCTTTCATAGTATGTTTGAAGTGCTTCACTCCAGATTGAAAACCGAGTCAGCAATCTACCAGGCATCACATAATTGACAGGAAGAAGGAAATTAACACAATATCAACAGTTTTTCTGTTGATACCAAAGTTCAGGAAAGTTCATAACATTGAAAAGAATAATTACTGGTGCAAATACATGGGAGCATATAAAAGGCAGCCCAAAGGAGATGACAGCCGATGTCTAAACGCATCACAGAAATTTAACATACAACTACCAGACATTCTTCCACAAGTTTATAAACTGTTTAATTCTGTTTAGCAGGTCTGAAGCTTGGATGAAGAAAAATGGTATCTGTAGACAGAAGCTTTTTGAATAGTAATTCACAAAGAGTTACGTTCTGACACAAAACATCAAACTGCTATCATCTTAGTAACATACAAATATAGGACAATTGATTTATATCTGATATCTGAAATTTATTTGATGAAAATAAATGACTTGTTCTGCTGATGGAAGACAACACCACATAGTTTTAACAAGAAAAGGTTTGACAATTGCCCATCAACTTATGGGTGAAATAATCAATGGCTGTCATTAAGAAAATAACAATTATCTGTACACTGAATTAAACCACATCATCTTGAATGGACACTTCCAACCCAAACAATCTGATATGTTGCTAAGCAATGCCACTTTGCACGCTTTTAGGAGAACAATAAGATTAAACAGCACAGTAAATGCTAAAGAGAAAGAAAGAATTAGTGACCAAGATCATGCTCCTAGATCGAGCTTCAAATAAAATCATTGTTCATATTAACAACATATATTTAAAATTTAAACCGAATTACAAATTCTCACAAGGACAGAACGTCCAGAAGTTTGGCCAATGAAAACAAGAAATACATGCTCTTCTAGAAACAAAGACAATCCAGTAAACAATTAAATCATCTAGTTTCTCATCACCCATCTCCAAGAAAAAGGGGAGAACATTTCAAATAAAAAATTAAGCATATAAAGGAGATAATAAACTCCTCTTTAGAAAAATAAGTTCAAACAAAGGAAGATAAAAAAGAAGAATCATATACCTGAGTAGGGAAGTATCGTATGACATTGGCCTGGTTACCTCTCCAGAAAGACAAAAAACCTTCCTCTCTCAAGACCCTCTTAAAGCAATCACCAATACCCATATAAGGTCTCTTGAGCTGTCCTCCCTTGATCATCTCTCCTTGGTTTTGCAACAAAAGCTTCACTCTCTCAATTGGTGCTGCTGCACTCTTTGCCATTATTGCTGCCAACCCTCCCATTACAAAATCTGCAGAAAACCTCTCAGGGGCTTTGGCTACTTCCATTTGCTCTCTTTGTCCCCCTGCAGTCGTAGCAACTGTTACAATACCAAAAAACTAGCAATATGACGTAAATTTCATAAAGATCAAAAAAAAAAAAAAAAAAAAAGAAAAAACTCAACCATCAAAAGACAATGGCAAAATGCAGAAACAAAAGAAGAAATTAGACTCTTAATTCAGTGCAAGCAAGCAAACCAACAAAAGTTCAACTAACCCTTTACAAATTTAAGAAGCGTTTTGCCCTGGTAGAGCAAATCCATATAAAGCTTGAAAATAGAAACTCCTACTCATACCAATGTGAATGAATTAGCTATTGCATCACTAACAAATTATTGTCATAAGGGATGGCTTACATCACATGTATTAAAATTTTACTAATATCAAACATCATTAAAACTGCAATATCGACAAATTGAAGAACTCATCAACCTAGTTAAGTAATTGCTTACGCATAAATCATCAATCAGCCTAAAATTTTCAATTCAAATAGATTTCACACATTCATAAGAATTTTCTTTTATAACTTAAAATATTCCCAAAACCAGCTTATCAATATTGATTTCTAAACTTGAGCTCTTGTCTAAACTTATATCATTTGGGAAGCAAGAAATTCAAGGCTTTTTCACAATGTCTTAATGTACAGCTTCTTAAAACATTGGACACAACATACATTGCTGGTGTATTTCCTGCCATTTTATCTTTTGAAACAAACCAAACAAAACAAAAAAAAACAATGATAATAATTCACTATCCTTTCTGAAACCCAAAAATAACAAAAAGAAAATGAAACGCTAAATATGAGAGCATTAAGCGCAGCTAAGCATACTCTTATCATATTTTCAATGTCATAAACAAAAGAAAAACCCATGAATCAAAATGTTCATTCATCTTTCAAACTCAAACAACTAGCTCTAACTGGGCACTAAAATCAAAACTCCTGAGATATAAAATCTACCCATATAAACAAATTAAAAAAAGAAAAAGATAATTGAGCGAATATAACACAATAACGTAAAGACAAACACATGAGAGGTGAAGCTAACCAGGTTGTGGGATTAAAGAACACTACACTTGTGGATTTGAGCGGCAAGTATTGGATTTGGTGAGAGCGAAGCGAGAGAGATACTTGAAGTTGAAGATTCTTTGGAGTTGGCAATTTGAAAGGCAGGGGATTATTCCTGAAATTTTCAAAATATAGAAATAAAATTGGTATTTATCTAGCTTACTCTAATTTCTGCGAAATTGTAGATTCCTCCCCTTGATATTTGTTTGGAATTTATATTTAAGGTATTTAATTAACCATTTAATGATAATAATTGAGTGAAGGAGTCTTTATTTGATATATATATTTATTAATATTTAATAAGATTGAGATGTATATTATTCTATTAGCATTTATTAACAAAAAAGAAAAAAGAAGGGTCAAATTTGTCAATAAGATAACGACCCCTTTCTTCCAACAATTTAAGTCACATCCCAAATTATGCTATTAAAGATCACAATAAAGATTAAAAGTCCAAGAATTCATTCATGAAATTCTAGATCAGTAAATCCCTAATTTTGGATAATTTTAAAGCCACCTTCTAGATTACAAATATTACAACCTACTACTAAATTTTGAGTATATTCATAAACAAACCCCCACAAGATTTTTTAAAACGAATCAAATCTATTGGAGGCATTTTTGATATACAATAAAATACAGTTTTTTTTTTTTTTTTGTATTTAAAACAAAGGATAACTCTTTTTCTTTACAAGAAATAGTTGAAATGTTCAAAAACCGAATGCAATCCATACAACATTTGTAAAATAAATAAAATAAAAAACAATTAAAGATCGTTTTCACAATTTTCTTATTTTTTAGCATAATTTTTTTTTTTTTTTTTTAATATCATATCAAACACTAGTGTTGAAGCCAAGAATTAATTTTTGGGACGGCCGATAAAAACTTGTCAAGTATTCATAAACTAAAATGTAAAAATCATTGAACTTGCTAACGTAAGATAGTTGTATTGGTAAAATAGTACATATTTAATATAATAAGTTTTATCATTCAAAACATATATTTTATTTTCGAAATGAAGAAAAACTACAAAAATACATGATATGATAAAATAGAATTTATTATAATATTATTAAGAAGAGAAACAAATTATTTTTAACTTAAAATAGGAAGAAATGTGTGAAAAACAGAGGAAAAAAATATTTTAATTCCAATATTTAAAAATAATTTATATTTCATTTTATTTAAAAAGTCTACTTGGGCTACAACCAAGGGGAGCCTAGGGCTGCAAACAAACCGAACAATTTAGGAATAATTCGATGTTCGTTCAATAACTGTTCGCGAACAATTCATGTTCGTTCGATAATATGTTCGATTGAGTTTTAACATAGACTGTTCGTTCGATTATGTTCATAAATATTATACGTTCGACTGATCCATCTGTTCATGAACAATCTGTTCGATTGTTCGTTCGTTTATGTTCGAAAAACATGGTATGCATTATTATAATTTATATTTTTTTCTTATTTATATTATATTTGGTTTAGTTTGGATATTTTTTTTTTAATGGTAATCAATAATAAAATATTATGATACTTTTGTTTTTCTTATATATATAATATGTTTGGATTTTTTTTCTCCAAATGTCATCAATAATTAAATATATAAGTATATAACATTTTAATTAAAAAGTAATAAATTATTATGATACAAATTTAATAACATAATAGATTGTATGATCAAGTGATATATAATATAGTAAATCCAATAACATAATTGCTTCATATTTTTGTAAATGTAATCAATAATTAAATATTATAAGATAACGTTTCAATTAATAAATATAATATGGTAAATTGATGAACATAACATGTTGTATAATCAAGTGATGTATACCATAATAAATTTAATAATATAATAGTTTAGTTAAATATATTATGATAAATTGATGAACATAACATATTGTATAATTAAGTGATATATAGCATGACAAATTTAATAATATAATAACTTAATTAAATAAAATATGACAAATTTATAAACATAATGTATTGTATAATCAAGTGATATATAGCATGACAAATTTAATAAAATAATAACTTAATTAAACCTAAATTAATCACACATTTGTATTGATCATATATTATAATAAACTCTCGTACTACCATGAATTTATAGGTGTTGATACAAAATATATATGTAAATAGTTATTCGAACGAGTTGGTGTATATTTTTTATTCGAACGGGTTATTCGAACAGGTATTTACAAGTTATCGAACGAGTTATTCGAACAGATATTTACGAGTTAGTCGAACAAACACGAATTGGCCTTTTGTTAATCGAACAAACACGAATAGTCATCTTGTGTTCGTTCGAGTTCAAACATGAAATCAAACAATCGAACATGCTTATCGAACAAGTTTCGAACAGGGCTGTTCGTTTGTGTTCGGTTCGATTACAGGCCTAGGGAGCCACCCCTAGTTCCGCCCATATTAAACAAACGGACCCAAATATTAAAGGGTCCGTTTGTTTTATTATTTTGGATAGAATTTTGGGAATAATATTGGATTGTTGAATAGGGGAGTATTACGAGGTAAAATTTAAAAATTTATAAAAAAACCCTTAGGTTTGCTAATTTAATAAACACCCCAATATATAAATTTTTTTTAAATGACAAAACACCCCCACCATCTATAGTGCCAGATTCAGGCCACCACCGCCAAAATCTGATCGAAAAATTGCGTTACACCACAGACTGGTCAGATCAGGCGGGTATGGCGTTGATATGGCATTTTCCAGCCAGATCCACCACAAATCTGGTCGGAAAAAGCTAGATCTACTACCAAATCTGGCTGTCGACGGGCGCAAATGTCCATTTGATGGCCAAAGATATGACAAGTATTGGTGGATGGAGGTGTTTTTGTTAATTTTTAAATTTTATTAGGGGTATTTAATGAAATTAATAAACTTAAAGGGTCTAAAAGTAATTAAAAAATAGATTAATATTTCTCAAATAATGTGTCAAACAATATTTGGGGAATAGGATTGAGAATATGGGTAAAAATAATAAGCCAAACGGAGATATTAAGATATAACTAAAAAAAGTTGAATTATAACATATTTTAGTTTGTAAATTATTTGGAGATCATAAATCAAGCATGCCTAATTTGGTAATAGCATTAGCCATCAACCGGACTGGTTTTTATTAAATATAAAAAATTTAGAGATGAGATTTTAAATATGTCAAAGATTAGTGATAACTGATAATTTTTAAAACCTTTTGGGTGGTTGTGTAATTAGTAATTACCCTATTTGATTGATTCTACAAAAATTGCAAGTTGCATTATCTTTAAGTGGGCTAAGGGTAAGGAATACTCTTTCAATAAAGTGCCATCTTAATTCAAAGAAACGACACAAAAGCTGCAAATTATTGCATGTTAGCCCCCTTTCACTTTAAATTGTTAAATTTTTTTTTTTTTTAAATAATAAAAATTACTAAGTAAGACACAAAAGTATTTTACACACAACCCATGTAGAACAAATCTTTTGCTATTAATTTAAAAATTTTATTTTATCTTCTAATGAGTTTGTAGATATTTAGATATGTTTTAAATTATACATTTTGAGAAATTGTGATTATTGAATGTATCCGTCAAAACACCAGGCAAATAGCATTGTATTGAATATTAGAAATTCGATGTTACTGTATTTGATATATATTTCCATAAATGGTTGAAGTTGAAGATGGTAAGTAAATTTTAAAGTTTAAGAGAATAATGGTAAATTATTAAGAAAGAAGACATCATCACATGTGGTGTTGTGGGTGGCTCTTTTCTTTCCCTCCCCGAACCGAAACAACCTGACATTTTCATATTCATATACAAACGTAACTGAGCTCTTTTACATTCAAAAACCAACAAACAAGAAACGAAACAAACCCTTTGTGGTTAAATTTATATCAATCTTTTTTACTCTTCCGTCCTTACTGTTTACGACAAAACATTCACTCTACTTTCTTCCTCCCAACTCTTCTTATGTGTCTTTGGATTATATAAACACAAAAGGGTTACTCAACTTTTCTTGTTCATCTCGTCCATATTGGGATTGGGATGCTTAGACATTGTTTTTTTTGTTTATGCCCATTGATTTGGTGATCAAATCTGGTACATGGGTCGGTTTCGATTCTTGATTTGGTGTTGAATTGTGGAGAGAATCAGTGAAAGATGCGGAGGCGGGCTGCCGACTATCGGCGCCCGGTTCGAAGGAGGTTTTCTGATTGGATCTGGGTTCTTCTTGGCTTGTTTTTGTTTGTGGGATTGGTTTTGTTTGTACTTCACCATAATCAACATGAAGATCGGGGTGATAAAATAGTTCAGGTAATTGTAGTTTCAGAACCCTTATTTTGTTTTAGTATAATTCTGATCTTATGTGATGTTCTCGTTTTATTGATATCAAGTTGTTTAGTTCTATATGTTGGGTTGATTTTGGAGTTGCCTATTTGATCTTGAAGCTTGGGATGTTGATTTCTGTGTTAATATTTAAGTTTTCAATTGGTCTTGGAGTTTTGATGCTCTATTGATAAAAAAGTATGAAAGGAATTATTGAGTTTTAGTGCTTTTGTTTAGATTGTTCTTGTAATTGAGGTTTTGAATTCGATGTGTATCATTGTATGTATGGATTTAACGTCTCCGGATAAAGATATTTAATTTCAGTGTTCACATGTGAACATGATATAGTTCTGATTTCTGAGTTGTTAAATTATAGGGGCTATGTCCAGGATTTTAAGTTTGTTGACTTGCTAAACATATGTCTTGTGAAATTGGTTACATTTCATTATCGATTTTGTGGTCTTTGTAGCAGAGGACTGGATGTCTCTGTCAATGTTGAGTTTCCCTAAGAAAGGTTCAGCTGATACTTGTGATGTTGTACTCTTATCATTATAAATCCTTTTATCACTAAAAATATTGATTTTATTGTAGATCATCAAACTATCATTTTATGTATAAAAGTGTTAGGGTATCAATTCAATACTATTTATCAATGAACTTTTGGCTTTTGATTGTGAAATTTGTCATTTTTAACTAAAACTGATAATAAATCTCTTATTGTATCACCTATGTTCATTTCTGGAAACTGGAAATTCTGTATTATAATCTATACCGGGGACATATTTATTATTGAAGTTCTTGACTGCTTGGGCTATGCTGAGCAGCCTTG